ACTGGGTGACGTGGGTTCGAATCTCAGGCGGAACATCAGTTCCGTCTAGATTGTAAATACGCCTTGCTGACGAATGCTAAAAAGACAGAAACCTAGGTTAGTGTGCGGATAATGTGTATATACACCTACATCACTGACATCACCTCTCAGCCAGATCACCTACAGTCTCCAACCACTGACTTCTCTTATCCCATGGATCCTAACTGGCTAGTTTGCATCACGCTACACGGCTCAAACGAACAGTCAAAGACTTCATGCATTGATGACATGGTTTAGTCTAGCCGCTCCGAGCTTTTTACCAGCCTGAACCTACTTCGACCAACATTTTACGACGGGGTAGATAGTGGTTAGGCATATGTGGTACATGTCGCAGCCATCTCAGCCGACGAAGGTTCACAAGTGTGTCAACTGTTTTACCTCTCCTACTTAAAACTCTCTCCCTGACTTCTGCGTTACTCACATGTTAACACCACAAAACACGGCCTATATTACGAGGGCAACGGTGGTCAAATACCTTTAATGGCCATATTTCACAGCTGTACAGGAGAACATAGCGGACTGCAGCACATAACACTCAACCCTTGATATCGAGATGGCGCCGTAGATGGCGTAAGTTGGCAAATGCCAACTGAGCCTTTTGTATCTGTGCAGAGATTTCATCGGCCACTGGAGCCACCAGGGCTGATCCTACTTCCCAGGTAAGTGAAGTGTTCAACATACTCAACCAATTCAATCTCGATTGTCAGCCGAGGCATCGTTTGAAGACCAGTTGCGGAGCAACAATTTGCGCATGAGTGGCGAGAAATGCATCCCAAACATTCTCAAATTCCCATTCAAGAATAGTTAGCAAATATAGTAATATACAGCAGTCATGTAGTAACCTAGTTCTGTATAAGTTGTCGAATATGAATTGAAGAGTTGCTATGAGAATCTTCAAAACGGTTTATTCATAAGTATATTTTGTGAAGGGTATTGTCTTCATTTTCTCTACTTGAACAAAAAAATGCATCCTACAGTAATTAGATACATTTTTATATCATACTGCAAGAAAAATGCATAATATTCTACGGTAGTTTTTTCCATCCCTATTATGAACAGTTTCACTTAATGTCTCTAACCCTAACCACTCAAAATCTGTCAACATTAGTAGGTATTAACGTAAAATATAGCACAGAAGTGCATCGATTTAAGTTGCCATGCTTTACAGTAACGTTCAAACCAAGCTGGATAGACAATAGACAATTTACGCGAAAGTGAAGTAGATAAAGGCTAGTGAAAACTATTTCAGACTTCGAAATAATATACTGTACATAAATTTAAATCATTGCAAGCGATTTTGAGTTGTATCACAAAGATTATTCAGACATTGATTTCTAACACTATGAGAACCTCAGTCAGGTGGTCTACACCTCTTGACATCATCTAGGTCAACACTCAGAGTTTTCATGTGCCGTGGCTACACCCCCTTAGCCTTCCTCGAAACCAATTGTACTTCAGACGATGTCACGCCTACAGAGTGTACATTTACTTGACTTGTGCAGAACATCCAAGCCATTCAAAGTTTACTATCTCATCGATTGGTTTGTCTTTCTTGTCTAAATTTTGTCTAATTGAAAGCACCTTCTCAGTAAACCAATCTTTATACAGACTGTATTGCAACTGGAAATAAAAGTCATGAAAAATGTTCTCGGGTTGGAATTCATCGTAAACTGACATCAGCTGGAGAAACATTAGAAACCTGAGATAACTGGACGGCTGTTTCGTTTTAGTGTGGGACTCCCCACCAGTGCGCATCCATGACCCCGCCGGGGACCTGTATTTGATCTCTGATGGGGTGAGGTCATGCGTGTGCACTGCTGAGGAGTCTCATAGCGGTACGAAACAGCTGTCCAGTGCTCCCAGGTTTCTAATGTTCTTCCCACAGATGTCAGTCCATGATGAACTCCAACCTCGAATCAATTAATAAATCTGCAGATTAGATTTCTCGTTAGAACCCATCTAATAAGAGCTAATGCGACTTGCGAAATATGTTAACAGGTCAATGCATACAAACAATTAATTCCCTATCCTCAGACAAAAGGTCTGTACAAATCTACCTCTGAAGTATAATGATACATCTGGTAGATGAAGGAAAAATATCCAAAGCATACTTCGGTTTCAGAAGACTTCACTTCCTCTTGCCATTTTCCTTTAAACACACAACATTTTCTTCTTGATATTCAACCGACTGCAAAGTGATAGTTTGTTTGGTACCTTTTGACTTTTTGTTTTACTTCGGTTCGTTGATTAGAAGTCATCCTTTCTTATTTATCTGTTGATAAGATAGAAATTTTCGACCTGCCTTCTTCTTCTACACGGTTATTTTCACTATACTGCTTCATATTTTATGGAACTAAACAAAGAAATTCAGTCAATTGTTTTTCTGTAAACCATATGCCTTCGACAACGTCGACCGAGAAGTAATTTAGCAGTTGCTTGAACACTACGGAGTGGCACAAACCTTCATCAACCTCATTCAACAGCTATATGAAAACGACACATGGCAAGTGATCCACAATGGTAAGCTCAGTGATGCCTTCGAGGAGAAGACAGGAGTAAGACAAGGCTGCCACCTACTATCACCCATGATATTCCTGATTGTGGTCGACTGGATTACGCAGCAAACCGTGAGGAGCGAGAAGATGGGCATACGCTTTTTTACCGATGAAAAGAGCATAGAAGATTCGGATTTTGCCGGTGATAATTTATGTCAAGTGTCTTGTCGCACAAACGCAAAGATGTACAGGCGAAAACTAACAAGTTGACAGAAGAAGCAGAGCAGCGAAGGTAGGATTTCAAGTAAATTTAGAGAAGACAGAGGTGATGAAGATACCCAACCAACACCAACACCAAAAACAACAAGCTTCAATCACCATCAATAGGATAAATTTGAAGGAAGTAGCCTCTTTCACCTACACCTATCTGGCAGCATCGTTTCAACAGATGAGGATGTCAAAGCCAGCCAGGACTGGAAAGACAGCGAGAGAGGCGTTCATTAACCTGAAATCAGTGTGGAGATCTACTCTTCTCAGCATAAAGCCTGAACAAGATCCTGATTTTCAACACTAATCCAGTCCAGTCAGTGCTTCTATGTGATGGTTGAGAGAGTTGGCGTGTTACGAAAGGAATTTCGAAGAAACTACAGATATTCATCAACAGCTGCTGCCTACACTCACTGGATACTGAAGATCAGGTGTGAAGGCGAGGAAGAATACACAAGGAGGAAGTGTGGTTGGCTGGGAACAAACCAACCAAGAGTTTGTCGCCCAACGAATATGTAGAAGAAAGTGGAGATGGATTGGGATATACACTGAGAAGACCATTCGCGGACATCACGAGTGGAATCCATTTGGGAAACGACGAGTTGGGCGTCCGTGGTGAGGGTGACAAGGAGGAGATCATGTGAGGAATTAGTGAAAGCTTCTGGGGAGTTGTGGTGCCAGGTTGGAAAGACGTGGAGAACAGAGTAGAATGGAGATATGCTACTGAATCCCTTTATTCCACTAGGAACCCAATGGAAATAATATGCATATTCACTTCAAATATATGATCAACTCTTATATAATTTTGCATTTTTATAGAATTCATCAACAACACTTGATCCTCTGATATTTCATATGATGACAATTGTTACTTGTATTGTATCATACCAACCAACACACTATGATTCTTGTGAATACACTTAATGAGTCCTGAGTAGTATAATATGTTCATTATAGATGCCTCTTATTTACACAAGTTGACTTAAAACTTACTCTTCTATCATAATTTTAACAAATGTTCAGCTATTTTTTTAATCACTTTTAGTTATTTATTCAGTTAGACATTAATACCTACATAAAGTAGAAAACATTACATCTCTTCTCCATTGTATCACCTTTTTGTAATACTTCACTTTTATACTAGTATCGAAATGATAATATTCACTATGGAAATGAAATCTTTCCATTCAATTGAGTTGAATGTTTTGTGTAAAATTAACGAAAGAGCGCTTCAGTGAAGAAAATATTAAGGAAACATTGTAATCATACTGACAAGAATATATATATACATATATCGAAAGTCTGGGAGCACTGGACAGCTGTTTTGTTTTAGTATGGGACTGCTCAGCAGTACGCACCCACGACCGGCTATAGGTAGAACTCAGGACCTTCAGGTTTCACGGCGAACGCGTTAACCATTCAGCCACTGGGTCAGTTTCCAGTGGTTCACAATTTCCAACTTCTGTCAATTCACGACATAGCGCGACTATCACCTAAGGTCTTCAGTTAGCATCGACTTCACTTACGACTGGTTGACCCCACAGGTCATGAATTCTCATTAGAGCTTCGTGATATTCATCTGGAAGCAAGTCACTAATGAGCACTATAGAGTAATGCATTTTTGAGATGAATGGGGATTTTTAATTTAGAAGTAGTATTCATCATAGATTGACATCACTTGGGGAACCATTGAAAATATGGGAGCACTGGACAGCTGTTTCGTCCTAGTATGGGACTCCTCAGCAGTGCGCACCCACACGTTCGCCGTGAAACCTGAAGCTCCTGAATTCAACCCCTAGCCGGGTTATGGGTGCGTACTGCTGAGGAGTCCCATACTAGTACGAAACAGCTGTCCAGTGCTCCCACATTTTCAATGGTTCCCCAACTGATGTCAGTTCATGATGAATACTACTTCTAAATTAAAAATCCCTATTCATCTCATGTATGTATATCAGTGACTAATGGTTCATTGCAAAAGTCATCAGAAATGGCGAATAAAATCACAAGATGATAATTGCCAGAAGGTCAACTCAAGGTCATCAAAAATGAGAGATAAGTTTTAACGGAATACGCTTAGTGCGGTCTATATAAAATCATTTCTATGATAGAAGGATGAATTGGTAAAACGTATTTAAAAATACCTAGTGTTAGTATATATTTTTTTCTTTCATCTGTTTTAAATGTGTTTTACTATTTTAGCTTGAAGAACAACAACGTGTCAGTGAGAAATATCGAACATTATACAATTTTGCATTTCCAGTTAAATACTTTACATGGACTGAAAATGCTTGGATATTCAGGTGGTCATCTCAGTTAGACTGCTTGAAATCTAGTTCATCCAGTAATATTGAAGAAAGCAAATGATTTTGTTAATGTTCACTTTAATTTTTCGTATACTTGTTTTTTCAATTGTTATCGTTTTTATTTTTATTTTATTGGTTACTATCCACGTATTCATTTTGTTCCGGTTATATGATATATAAAATTGTCTCAAGAATTGTTATTAATCGCAGTTTTATTATTATTATTATTATTATTATTATTATTATTATTATTATTTGTCCCTTGGGTTCTTAGTAGAACATAGGGCTTCAGTAGCACGTCTCCATCTCACTCTGTTCTTTGTAATCTTTTCAACCTGGCTCAACGACTGCTCACAAGCTCTCATTTATTCATCACACCATCTCCTCCATGTCACCCTCACCTTGCACGCCTAACTTATCGTTTCCCATCTTGGTCCCACTCGACGGCCTGGCCTGGCTCATGATGTCCCCGAATGGTCTTCTCAATACATGCCCAATCCATCTCCACTTCCTTCCAGTGCATATTTGTTGAGTGATAGGTTCTTGCTTCGCTGGTTCGTTGTCAGACCAGAGTTTCATGTTGCTTATTCCTGGCCATCTGAGCTTCAGTAACGAGCCAGCATAGGCAGTTGTTGATGAATATCTGTAGTTTCTTCGAAATTCCTTTCGTAACACGCCAACTCTCTCAACCATCACATAGAAGCACTGACTGGACTGGATTAGTGTTGAAAATCAGGATCTTGTTCAGGCTTTATGCTGAGAAGAGTAGATCTCCACACTGATTTCAGGTTAATGAACGCCTCTCTCGCTGTCTTTCCGATCGTGGCTGGCTTTGACGTCCTCATCTGTTGAAATGATGCTGCCTAGATAGGTGTAGGTGAATGAGGCTACTTCCTTCAAATTTATCCCATTGATGGTGATTGAAGCTTGTTGTTTTTGGTGTTGGTGTTGGTTGGGTATCTTCGTACCTCCGTCTTCCCTACATTTACTTGAAGTCTCACCTTCGCTGCCTCGTCTCGCCTCTTCTGTCAACTTGTTGGATTTCGCCTGTAGATCTTCGAGTTTGTGTGATATTAGACACAAGTCGTCGGCGAAATCCAAATCTTCTGTGATCTTTTTCCCCTTCCCAGCATATGCCTCCTAATAATCACAACAGTAATCCTAATTATATTTTGACTCTTTCCCTGGTCACATTTATTTTCATATTCAATATATCAGCAATTCAGCTTTCATGCAATAGTCCATTAGTTTGAAGTTAAAAACTCTTCAGAAATATCATACGCCTATTTGATCGTGGGAAAAGACAAGACGTGGTTTCAGCGAAGAAATTTTTTCTTTTTGACGAAGTCATTTACTAGGCTGTACATTCGTGAATATATGTTGCAGTGAGTAGAATGTTCCAGAAGCGTTTCTGAAAAAGATGTCTATGTCGTTGTAAGTAGCAATTCCTGAGTCCAGCCGATTGAATGTACTGTGTTCACTGTTACGATGTAGTAGAAAGCTGCTTTTCGGTGATAATGGCATCATGGTAGTGTTCATTATAATGTCCACAGGCATCAGTTCACTAGATAGTTCTTTTGTGACCAGCACTGTCTGCAGTGGTCTTGGAGGTCGCCTCCCACCTTCCAGCCCAGTAGACCATGGCCTATTTTCAAAGCATCACATAGCGCCTCCTGTTCCGTGTTTTACACAGCACTATGTTGTGAGGGCTTCTTGGGTGATGCCTTGCGGTGGAAGCGTACAGCCAGCACTTTGATGAAAAGAGACTCTGCAAATGAGTAGGTTTCGGAAATTAGGTACGCTGCTGGCAGGTAACTTTTCTAGTCCCGCCTTCGCCTCTAGCCATCCCAGATGCTCCACATCATGGGGGTAATAATCACATTTTGTGGATCCAGCAGGTAGCTCGGGTATTCCATGCACCAATATGGTTGCAGGTTTGTGCGGATCTCTAAGGATGGACTTTCTTTCCACTTCTCTGGTGGCTTTGGTTGATGCGGCCTCATCCTAACGACACAGCAGCCTGCTATGTCTCGTCAGTATGACAGCAGTAGTATATCATCCGACTGCTTCGCTACCATCGATGACGCCCATTTCTTGAGGCTGTTGAGTCCCATTGGATCGTGAGAGTTGGTTCAACACAAAAATGAAGACTTCACTGGTGCCTCGTATGGGGTGGGAACTGGTAATTTTCTCTGCCTAGGTACGACACATTTACATGTTTGTGGTCTGGATATAGATGAAGCTTTCGCAGTTTCTGCTGGTAGATTTGGAGGGCTCATATTTTGTAACATCTTGGATTGTACCAGGCCCTTTGGTTCCAACATTCTGAACATATGTACCACATCCTCTTACATGAGGGCTTCTTCGTGAACCTGTGGTACTGACCTGGTATACCCTTATCACAGTTACAACGTACCGATTTTAGACATATACTGCACTCAAAGGCCTGTTGAACTTCGGCCACTGGTGCAATACAAACACTACAGCCGTCAGAGGTTTGTTTTTGTTGACGAGTGAATGGTTTGCCTTCTATGAATTGAGGTCATCTGTGGCGTGTGTCAGTATACCGGCTTGTCAGAATACATGGTTTACCCGTCTTTTGTTTCTTACCGACAATATATTTGGAAGCATGTCGCCACCACCCTGACCACATGAGTCCGCTTGCTTTTGTAAATGCCGTCTAGTGTGACAGTAATACTGGGATGCTGGATGGTGTCGGCATTGTCGCGTCTACCTTTTCTGTTCAGACTGCTCGCTGTTTGCCTGCAATCTGATTATACGGGTTTTAGCTTGTGACCTGGTTTTCCATACCCTCATAGTTAAGTGGTGCAAAATGATATGACGAACATGCAAAAGAAAGCGCAAAGTAGACAGCTTACCCTCAGGAGCTTGATACTCGATCTTTCCCATTCTATCAGCAACTGTAACCGAATGCTCCAATTGCGTATCTTTAGACAAAGAAAGATGCTTCCTGGTGAATGATCTCCGAAGACAGCCAAAATCCTTACTAGTTGGACGGCTCAGACGATTACGAACCACCAGCAGGAAGTATTTCCGAGTTGATAAGATGGCTATGTCGTTGTAAGTAGCAATTCCTGAGTCCAGCCGACTGAATGAACTGTGTTCACTGTTACGATGTGGTTGAAAGCTGCTTTTTGGTGATAAACCTAGTCGTATTCCCTTTAGATTGGATATGAACAAAGCACGATGGTATTCAAACAGTCAGTGCTGTCATTATCGGTTGACGCTTTTGAAATGAGATGACTGTAACTACATCCCGCCGTAAGGCGTTTCATAGGGCACATGCTCTCAAGCTTGATGTAACACCTCTGAAGTCATGACATGGTCACCGCTCTTCCCATAATATCCTAATGTGAATGGCCTTAAGCGCCTCAATCGGACGGTGGGATGTTTACTCCCCAGCCTGACAAATTTTCTCTGGGGTTCCTGCGATTTCTCGGAGGTTGGAGTCTTGCTTGAGTGCTGTATGTGATACTGCACCAAGCACTCAGAGGTGTGGTTGCAAATGCAGTTTGAAAACCGTTAGAAATAGCTGAAAGTGGGAGCATTGAGCCATCTGTGTGAGAAGGAGAATGTGGCGTTTCGTCTGGCTTTCACCCTCTTATAATAGGAGCTGATGCTCAGAGTTTCGGAGAAGTTTGAGTCTTAGATCTTCTCTTGATGGCGCCCTGGTGCTAACATGGTTACTCTCCTTGTGCTTGCATTCGGCTGTCCCCGCTTCTAACTTCCAGATTTGTATTACTTTTCACTTCTCCAAGTTGGAGTTTGAGCCGTTCTGTAAAGAACAGAGTTCTAGCTGCTGAGTGTCACTTTGGAGTACTCAACAGTCAACCACCTCAATAACCAGCCTCCATATTTTGTTGTCAGTAAGATAAGGATGGACGGGAAGTTTTGTGGAAAAGCGCCAGTGAACAGTAGGAACAGAACCGGTACCCGGATTCCTCCACGATGTTGATGGCCACTGTCTCAACCGTGTCCTGTTCATCTTTGTGCACAGCTGCCTGCCTGCAAGAAACGCTTTAGACCGAGAAAGTGGAGGTCCGTCTATAAATGCCTCAGTGGCTTTGTGGAGTATAACCTTGTGTGAGACTGCATCAAATGCTTCGGCTGGATCTTGAAATTAACGTGGACTGGTTTCTTGCCATTCCAGCTAAGGTTCCAAATATCCCGGACAGCCAGCAAATAAACCACTCCGAAAACCGTGTTCGGCAACATGGAAGTGCTTCCTTGTCAACCGATTCTCAAATCTCATCTGTTTTCATGTTTTCCGATACTTTGGGCAGCATAGAAGGTAAGGCGGTTAGTCCAACGGCATCAGGGATTTTTCTGCCTCCTTTGAGATTGGGTGACAGGAAGACGCACTTTCACTTATTATAAAGGGTCCACCTGACTTTGGAGAGTGCGTGAAAAGTTCACAGATTGGCCCCGTGGATTCTTCGGTGCACTTCCTCAAGACTGCTACTCTCAGGTCATCACAGCCAGGGGACTTGGCCAGACGAATGGTGGTTAATTTCACTGATGCTTTTTCCTGTTCATTGAGGATGTGACATAGGTACCGATTCCCATCAGTCTGCTCGAAGCCGTCTCGCACCGCTGTGAGTTGGCTGCTAGAAGTGCTACGCTGCGCTTCAGGGAGTGGGCTGAGAAGTTCAGATATTTCTGGACAGCCCAGTACATCTCCGTTGGGGCCGTTTGTGTGAACGCCCACTTCACCAGCTGGTCTCCTTTCAGACATGAAGCGCTACAGGTCTTCCGGGCTACTCAGCAACTTTTTCGGCAGGCTTGACTGATAAGTCTCATGTTGCATTGGTTACAGATTATTTCATAGACCATGAATCCTGACTCTTAGTGTGACGAGGGCCACCTGAAAAGGCCTCAGTTTTGATGTGGAATAGCTACTATTCCGTGCTGAAGCCATGAGAACCCCACTGATGGCCGGTGAGTTAACCCCAACACACATGACTGATGGCCTCAAGTATTACTGAATTTATTTGTGACCAGTGTTCATTTTTGTGAGATGGTTCGGGCCTTTATGCTGTGGTCTACTCTTGGGGTAATCTCTCATTGCCTCATAGTTGGTCTTCAAATAACAAGGAAACGTTTTTAGTGTCTC